CTGGGTTGAATGAGTCCAAACTGAAGAAAGGGAGACATGATTTCATTTAATCATCTGAATCATTGTTTTCTGCGTTCTCCTGAATTGGAGGCTATGGGGGGCAAGAGGGAGTTTAAAAGAAATCACCATGTAAGTTACCAGGCCATTTAAAGGAAAAATTTCCTTTGAAGGCCCTAGATTTGAAAGGCTCAAGAAAAAGCATAAGAATAGTAGTCCTATTAATGAGCTGCCCAGAAAGTCAGCTTCCCCAAGTCAGTCCACAGCACCCAGCTCCTGAGGCCTCAGGGTGCTGCTAGAATCTCTCTACCTGTGAGGCACAAGTGGCCCTGCAGAATAGATGATGCAGTGCTTCCTTCCAGCAGCCACCACCCAGAACTCTTGAAGAGTTTTGTAATATAAGAGCTTGAAGAAATGAGATGGTAAATGGAATAAAATATGCCCTGGAGTAGAGAGGTCAAGGTTGGGGGCAGGAGGCGGTGGGGGGTCAGTCCGAGGCTAGGTTTTTTTAAGGTGAAGGATGTGATCATGTATCTGTCCACTGATGGATAATACAGATGTTAGAGGAGATCAGGTGCAGAGCAAGGCCTTTAAGTAGGCAAAATGAGGAAAGGGACAGTTCATCCACTGTGACAGGAGGAAAGGAAGTGCACTACATGTGGTACCCATGTAGGAGTTTGGGAGGTATGGTAGAGAAGAATGTAGTAGTTGTCTTCTAGCTGTATCAATTTTTAGTGGCATATGAGGCAAAGTATTTGGCTAAGGACGAGAAGGGAGGAGGACGACCCGAGAAGATGCGAAAGTCATCACAGGCAAGGTAAATGTGGTAAGACTGCTGAGTAAGGCTGAGGACAAGACAGTCATGAATTGAGAGTAAGAAGTCAACACAGTACTTAAACGTTTTCTTCCAGCTATATTCACTGCTTCAGTACAGGCAAAGAATAGATGGAGTAGTAAGTCTGATCAGCATTGGGACTTGCCAGCTGAACACAAATAAGACGGTGCACTCATCGAAGTCTAGCTCCACTGTCTTATCATGACGTGCAGCATCACCACCACCTGGAGTCAGAGTCGGCATCGTCACAGGATTTCCAAAGGACTCATGTGCATGCATAAGCAAGAGAAATAAGTGAGTGGGAACCAAGTGAAGACAGGAAAAGGTCATTAAGAGCAAAGGAGGCTATGGGCAGCCAGCCTGTTGCTTTGGTCCTCTACGTGGATTTTAGACCACCAAGACTGGTGGCAGAAGAAATGACTGGGTCAAAGGAAGAGATGAACAGAGCCATATGGAGGTCACTGTCCACGTGATTACAGATGGCCTGGAAGGCTTGGGGTCCTGGTGGTGACTGAGGCAAACGTGTAAGGAATGACAAGACTTGTCCTGGTCATCTTTCAAGGGAAAGATGATTGTAGTTGTGGTCTCATTCTCCGGATTGGCCTCTTGGGTAGTTTATACTGATCATGGAGGCAACACTGTAGCGGAAGGAACACAAGGAACTCTGTGAGCTCCCTCAAGTACTCCTGTGGGTAGAATGAACTGGGAGAGAGATGGTCTTATCAGGAACACAGAGTGAGCTTGGCTGGCTTCTGTTAGATGCTCGTTAGGAAGGGATTATTTTTATGTAAACAACAATTGTTAAGCATTTCAGGTAGAGGTAGCCACTCAAAGATCTATGCTGCACTAGAGGGTGTAATAACTCTGCATAAGACTGGAGAAATTTGTCCCTCTTGAAAAGAAGAGAAGCCAAAAAGAAGAAGGAAGAGAATGAGGAACAGAAGGTGAGCAGACTCATGTTTCGTGTTGTTCACGACAAACTCCCTGGTATCAGCCAAAGGATATGGTAAGAAAGGTGAGGTCTCCCACGGGAGATTGTATAAATTTTATCTATACAAAAACTCCATTTTTCTTTAAAATTTTCAGTATGGTCTCCTATGCTCTTAGTGTATTTGTGAATGGATCTTCTATAATATTGGAGAGAGGTAGACGCCAGTGTGGGTTATGAGTTCAGAAAACAAAGGAGAACATGCAAATACAGGCTCCAAGGAAGTTGAAGAACTTTGGGAGAGAGTTTTAGATATACACATGCTAGGAAACTAAGGAATTACCATGTTAGTCATGTATCTAAAGGGCAGCGGTCCCACTGATAACTGTGCATATACATAATAAACATAATAAAATACACATTTTTGAAGACCAGCTGCTTTCTCTGCACTCTCCTCTCCCATCCCTAAAACATGTCTATCTTTACAACTGTAACTGAAAGGTTGAGAAACACTGAACTAATACCAATGCACTAAAAATATTAACACAAACATTATGTCATTATCATTTCCTTGGGCTAGGTACTTCTCAGGGACCAAATCCACTGCTAATGAGAACAAGAGAAGCACTGAAATCAAAAATTCTTTTTAAAAATCTGAATTCCCAGAAAAGCATCTACCAAAATGTTCAACAATAGCAAAATGCTTACCTCAATTCTGTCTACTCTGCTTAATATACTCGTGTTCAGAAAGGTGGCAGCCAAAGAATGGGGAGAAAAGAGCACAGGTGGATACTCAACCCTAGAAGTTAAGAACTGCAGGTATACAAAGTAACACACAAATCAAGGCTCACTACTCTCCAAAACTTTGCATTCCAGGCATTCAAGGTCCATGATCCTTCAGATAAGCTTCAATAATAATTGTGGAGAGTGAGCTGGGCACCTTGACTAACTCCTGAGACCATCAGGGTCTTCTGTTACAGACTTTTAGCTCCAAACTCAGGCAACTCAAATTAAATGCAAAGCTGTGATTATTATGGAAAACTGAATTATAATTATCCTGGAATTCACCCATAAAAATATTTCCCAAATCTATTTCTTAAAAATTGAAAACAGACCAGGGTCTACAAGCGTATCTATGATCCATCTCAGTATGTTAGTTTCATTCAAGCTAAATTTGCATTTGTTCCTTAATCACAGGGCTGAACCAGTTCTCCACCAAGAGGAAACAAATCAATTCCGGGCTTCTGAGGAAAAGGTTTAGTAGATCTTCTCTTATTTCTTATAGATTATAAAGTTGCAATCAATTAGATAAAAATAGGCACAGTATCCATTCTATGTGATTGGGACAATTCAAGAAGGAAAAGTAAATTTCTGTCTTCAAAGAACAGAAATACACACACACACAGACTTTCCCATATCTTTTACATATCATAATAAATCCAAAGATTCTAAATTTCTTTTCACCTCCCAGTGAAATAATTGAGAGCACGCCCAAGATGCCAGGGGTCTCCATGTAAACACCCAGGAGGGATAGCTGAGGTCTACACAAAACTTTTTTTAAAGATATTCTATTTTTTTAAATAAGCAAAAAATAGCCTGTAAACCTTACGCCTGAACATAGTGAACACCTCCCTACCTGATGTTATCAGGAGTAACACCACAAAGCCTTCCAACCCACAGATACTTTCTCCATACACAGCAAAAATGGAAGCCCGAACTTTCATTATTTGAGATGAATTCCCCTGGGTTCCAACACTGGCCCCTGCTAAAATGCCCTTGAGAGGGATTTCCATTATCAGTGATGAGGACAAATTAGTGGATGAGACCCCTTAGCTAGGAGCAAGTCTGATGGCCAGCACTTGTGGTGGAGCAGCAGAAAGGAACTGAAATCACAGCACTCTCCTGTCAAGGGTGGCACGATCCGAAAGAATATTCAATAGAGAGTTGGAGTCCATCTACCTAATCTAGGTATCAGATTTCTTATCTGTAAACTAAGGCTGAATATCATGAGCTCTCGTTTAAAAGAAAGACTTCTGTGAAGTGAGCTAGGTTTGACTAGAAGTATAGGATCAGCCACAAAGGGCTAGGAAGTTGGAAAGCCAAATGTCAATAATGGTGGTCATAACACCACTGCTGGAGGGAAGATATGCACTAAGGAAAATGTCTCCACAACTATAATTATGCCAAAAGATTAAACAAATGTATTACAAGGCAGTTCTACAGGGAAATCTTAGTAATGCCTCAAGTGTAAAGGTACCATAAACAGAAATAGAGAAGAATTCTAGATTCACATCAGGTCATTGTTTTCCTCCAATTTGTATTTTAAAAAAATGGAACCTAATCTAGTTTCGCCCAAGGAGATGCTGTTCTTAAAACTAAAAGACTGATCGGCAGTGTTGATGCATTTCCATGCAAATGGAAAATGCTGACTTTTATATGTTCTTTCAAGAGCACGAGTACTGAAATGACTTTAGTAAAACAGTCCTCCTTCATTCAAGAGATATTTACATAGTACCTAGTACGTGCTTCTACCAGATATGAGAAGGGACACAAGGATGAAAAGGACACTTCTGCTCTTCAACTTACAGCGTGGTACGGAAGATACGACAAAGACATTAGTAAATACAACAAGATTATGATGCAACCAGGCTAACCAAGGTTAGGGGTTTGGAAGAAGAGCTAGAGTTTTTGTTTTTTATTTTTGAAAGCTCACAGTGTCTTCACATACTCATTCGCACTAGCCAAAGTCAAGAATTTCTGAGGAAAAGCTTAGACACTTAATAAAGAACAGCAGCTCCTGAGCCATCTGCTTTGCACAAAGAAATGAAGCTCCTTCACACGCAAATTTTCATTTCATTTCAACCCTGTGAGGATATTGTTGTCAGATGGGGTAAGTAACGTTTAATTTATAATTGACATGGCGAACAAGCCATGCTTTATAAAATGGCTACAATCAGTGACTCTTTTTGCTGAAAAAAAAAAGCAAACCATCATATGAGTCCAAAAGTCACTGACTTTCATCAAGTTCTTTTGATCCATTTAAGTGTCCTGTTACTAATCGTCTCATGAAGAAATGTGCAAAACACAGAATTTAAAGTGAACAACAGAAGTTTGTTACACCCAGACAAAGATACACAGCAGGATACCCTGGAAGTTGTTTTTAAAGGAATCATTTCTCAAACTCCTATCATACAAAACTGCAGGTTCTAGGAGCCCAATCCCATGTTGCTGTATTCTTACCTGGTAAGGAACAATGCTGCCATGAGCGGTACCCCAGTGTTTTGCTTCCTGCTGGCCAATAAGATAATCAGCAGCTACCTGGGTCAAACAAGCCACCTACCGAAAGAAAAAAAAAAGCTAGTTTACTAGTTTACCTATATTCATAAACAGAAACTTATAATAGGAACATTCTCATCTGATTTCATTTCATGTCATTGTAGAAGGAAAAGAGAGAGAAAAACTGTCCTGTTTGATTGGAAATTATGCAGGCAACCACACTTCTGTTGTACAAAGAAAAGAAGAATGGTATTACATTATTGCATGAGACAGTAAGTGCTGAGTAATGGTCAACTGAGACATATAAACACAGAAACATTCCGCTCCTGGAAAGGTCATCTGAAGGCAGAGGTTGACCCAGCAGATGGAATCCTGATCCAGCCTTTAGCATCAAAGCAGTAGCAAAATACATCAGCAACTGGTACGTTCCTTCCCCCTTTTACTTTCCATCAATAGGACACAAAAAGAACCTACATCATCACTGAGCAGGTGAACTCATTAGAGTTCACATTCCTCTAGACTTCTCATATCATGAAAAAATAAGAAGAAACTTCTATTTTGTTTAAGTTAGTTTAGTCAAATTTTCTGTTACTTGTTGCCCAAAGCATTCTTACTGACACAGAGGATCAAGATTATTTAACTTGTTTTTTTTTTTATTCATTAGTGACTCATTCTCCTTTAAGCAAAAATGACTCTGCTTCTCTCAACTTGGTCCTGTGCCCAGATTCTCATAATTATTTTGGCTTTCAAGAGCCACAGCTCTATTAAAGGAGCCATCTAAAGTTTTAAGGTCAGCCTCTGGCTCTTGTAGTTTTTATATACAGATACTGAAGACCATACTAATTCAATTCCATATGAGGATAATGACTTGATTCCTGGTGATCTGTCACTAAGAGCTTACGTTCCAATGACTGTCCGTGCCCGCAAGAGCCCAGAACGATGGGAAGGAGGTGACCAAACAACCACTTTCCATAGTTTACAGAAGAAAAGCTTCTGGCCTCATAGCATAATCATGACACAGCATGGGGCTTGTCCCATTCTGTATCATTGGATGTGATTAGGAATCTACCAAGCCAGCAAGTCAGACATCCCAAACTGAGACTGGCTACTGAAGCAAGCCAAGGGGTGATTTTTCAGGGCTTGGTGCTGCAGCCTGTCATCGCCCTCTACCTGGCACGGTGGCTGGCCTCCCACAAGGGCTGTCACTGGGGCTCGGCCTGGATGAATCTCCTCTCAGCAGCAGCCGTTCTCCTTTACTTTTTCCTTTGGATTTACACTCACTTTTATGTTCATTTACTGCTCTGTTGAAATTGGAGCTGCCTTATGGCAGCTGGTTTGGCTGTACTGCCCAGGTGGCAAAACTAATAATCTTTGAGTCATCCACTTCTGGACTTCCATCTGGCCTTGGGCATTTGAACCATGGAGCATTCCGGGGCTGCCTGGGCTGCCTGGGGCTGCCTGGTGCTAATCACCATTTCACAGATCACTTCTGTGTCTTTCAAAATGGAAAAATCAAATCAACATTTTGTAGTCAAAATGTACTGAATGGGAAGGCCAGAGTCACGGCTTCTAATTTCTGTCAACCTCTAGATGTACAACTGTAGGTACATAAATCAACTACACTGACCTTCAGACATCTTCCCTATCAAGTCTTGGGCATTTGCCCAACTGTTTTCAAACTTTTTTAATAAAAAAACATAACTCCTGTTTCAAACCAAATAATACATGGTCTGGTTGAAGTAGGGGCAAGCTTACAATGCCACCCTACGAAACATGAACACAGAACACAATTTGCAAAATAGTAAACGGTCTTACATTGCTTCCAAGGTGTACACTTCTGCCACGATTATTCTTCTTAACAACATGGCAGATAAAAAGATAACCAGGGATACAATAGTAGTCATTTTCCCATGAAGGCTCTCCCTGAAATGGGGGACATTTTCTCAAGTCTGAGGTTTTACTGTAAGAAAGGTGCCTTTTTAATCTAGTTATGTTGGGAGTGGGGGGGGGGTTGTTCTTTTCCAAAATTCTGGTGAAAGCCACTCTCAAAGGAGCTCTGGTGCTAATGGAGGCCAAGAATTCACACTAATAAAGGCAATTCTTTGTAAGCAAAAGTCACAAGACCCTTGGTATTTCCACTTTTCTCACTTCAAAGTCAAATGATAGTCAATAAATCAACAAGAGCAAGGAGAAGTGGGCTGAATGGGTGATGCTAAATTTACTCAGACGCTCAGCAGGGAAAGGCACAGGCTAGGTGCTAGGCTGGAGGACAGCCTGGCTGCCTCATCTCTTGCTCACTACGTCATTCTTTCTTCTCAGCTGTGACTTCTGTGTTTCTGACCCTGCCTTGATAAGCTACCCTAGACAACTATTTAATAAAAGTAGCCCCTCTTAGAGGGAGTTTGAATGAAGGGTCAGAATTCACCTCACAGTTTCCAAATAGGATATCATACCCATTTTCTCCACACAATGGTAGCTCATGAAAACAGAAAGCATTTCAGAACTAGCATGCTCCCACTGGGCAGAAAGATTAAATAAGATTTTACGCTGATTGCCATCCAAAAACAAAGGTGTGATTTGTCAGTAACTACTCAGAGGCAAAGTTGGGGGTGGGGGATGAGGTGGGAATCTATTTTAAAAAAGAGACCAACAGGGCTAAACTTAGCAATCCAATGTTTAAAAGGGGCATTACAGATCTGAAAGTAATCTGCTATTTACAAAGATGTATTTTAAGGCAAGAGAAGGGGGAGAAAGCCAGCAGCTATGACGTGATTATGTACAAAAAATCAGAGGTTTCCTGGCAATTAATGACAAATTTTCCACAAATCAAAAGAATGCAGGATGTGATTTTTAGGTTAATAACTACATACTGTAGACCCATTCTAAATATTGCATTAGATCATTGCTTTCATTCCCTAAACTTAGGCTCATTATTTCATCATGTGGATGCTGTATAATTTACTCAGAATGTTGCCTTTACATGGTTTCATCTAAACAAAAAGCCAACTTTGGTTTAATAATAATCATTCTGACAGCAAAATTATTATTTTAGATAACATAGTGGGTCCCGATAGTCTTTGTGCACACCACAAAACCAACGGCGTGGTCAAAGTGGATCTCAAAGGGCACAGCCCCAAAAGGCTTGAGGAAGAATACGCCCAATTATTTCCCAAAGGAGTCCCATGGTGTCTGGCACCACGTTTACTTCTACGAAATGAAGATCAAGCTGCAAGAATACAATCTTTCATCTCCAAAAGGACAGCCAAGTATTACAGGAAAAAATGGGGAAAACAAGACTACAAATCCATTACATCAAAATGGGTCATTTTTCCCTCCTACTCCTTTGCATCTATTTCGGCCTCCAACTAAGCTGGACTAAACACTAATTATGCATCACTTCTGCACCTGCCTGTATTCTATCAATCCTATCTCTGCTTTCTTACACAAGCCACTTTAAAATTAATAATACATGTTTTCAAGTAAGGGCTCTCTCTTAGGTTCTACTGTGGACCAAAAAAGTTAAATGTCATATACCTTAATATCATTCCCCATGACTCACAAATTTTAAGAAGATGAATGATAGTGTTCAGTCAAGCAATCCACAATACCTCTTGACAAACCGTCACCACCAAATTTTTACCAGTCTTTGATGCAGATTTTGTAAGTGACCAAGAAACCAACACACAGGATAATGGAACAATTATCATAAAAGCCTTGCTTCTAGCATGCAGAACACAGTGAAGCCAAATGGCAGCTAGCAGCAATATCCTGGGGAAACTAAGCTGCCTGAAGTTTCTGTATCTCCACTGAATTAGGAGTTTGATTGCACAGGTCAGCATTTTGAAAAAATAAATAGTAACATGAATTCTAGTGCTGATTCCATGGCCACCTGCACTTCTATGAAAACTACTGTAATACTTTTTTTGGTTAGGCTTGATGTTTATTTTATATTTATTTACTCATTTCACATAGAAAACAGATGATTATATCAAGTAATGACTCTGAGAAAGTAATGTTATCACCACCTAAACTACTCCCCGATCTTAGAAAATTGTGCGGCATTTCCATACCGCTAGAATACAGAGAGTCAAATTACTTAGAAACAGAATATAGGTTTTGGAGTGTTCTGTATATACACGTTGGCATTCATGTGGCTAGTTTCACGTCACAGTTCAGTGTTTGAAGTTATTCTCTACTTAAAATTATTCTCAATCTCAAATGAAAATCCAACATATGCCTTTCTTAGGAAAGGAACCAGAATTGAGTCCTGATCTCTATTTACCAAAAATTTACACCATTGCTGGGGGGAAGTAATCTTGTACTTTAATATGGCTCTGAAAACAAGGAGTTAAAATAAATTCTCAAAGCATGTAACTGAATTCTGAGGAATAGCTTCTAAACTAAGCCAATCTAAATCATTAAAAATAATAGGTTTCATCTGCTGTTCTATTAAAATGATAGTATGGTGTTAAAGGGAGAAGAAACCTAAAATCAAGCATAAAAGGCAAGTATAGAAGGGAACAGAAGAGTTACACCTATAGAAAATCTTTTGATCTGAACTACATTAGGGATTCTTTAAGTTTTTCCAAA